GTGGGAATCTTGTGAGTTTTGTGTAAATGGTCGGTTAGTATGTATTGATTGGATGGATCTTTGCTGCCATAGTTTAAAACGCGCTCATTGATTGAATCTTTGATGAAAGTTCAAAGTCGCAGAGAGATTACAGAAACATTCAACAATTGTCATTGTTAGAAAACTGTTTGTAGTCTTGTACTGAAATGCTTTCAACTTTGTATCGCTCGTGATTTTTGTTGGCAATTAAATCAAAAAGAATTACCACCGCTGACAGTAAACTATTCCAAAACTAAGCTTCTTTCCTAATATTTACTTGATTCTGATACTCTCTTATCACAATAATTAATTTTCTTAGTTTAATTACTATTACTATACATCTGTCACCATAGCGCCATAAGTTACAGCATGGAAGGTATGGTTACAGCGTGTCGTAATTTTGCGGTATTGTACAGGTTTTTTTTTCATCCTACCATATAAGGATATGCGAATTCTAAATATCGAATGATTTGCGTGTCGGTCGATACTCCAGCTGTACCAGTGGCGGATCCAGAGGGGGGCCAAGGGGGCCATGGCCCCCTCCAAACGCATGAAAATGCATCTGGATTACGCATAGCATCGTCCGAATCGCACGGTCCTGTGTATTCGACCTATAGGTCTGGACCCCCCCCCCCCCCAATACATTTTTCTGAATCCGCCTCTGAGCTGTACTGTCTTCGTGCATACTTTGAGGTATTCTCGTAATAACCTTATAATAATATATTTCCACTGCGTACTAACATGGAAGGTACTAACGGAAGGAGCCACGACGCTATTGTTTTAGCTTTACCCCTTGAACGTTTGTCAGTGTTTGTTCACAAACATTGTTCTTGTTAGCTTTTAGCACCTTCGTACAATGGGTTATGCTAATCTCGAGCATTCGGTAATATTCGGAGCATGTTCGGAAGCGATAGTCGAACCTGCATATACATATTTAAATGGCGTCTAGTTTGAATGCTGTTGATTCCGGAGATCTTGGCGAACTTTAATGGAAATTGTCAGATATAACATTGATTGAAGAAGAACTGATGAAATGTCGTGAATTTTGTATTTGTAATGGTAATGAGACTTAATCAATGATTGCTTGTGACGATTGCATTATTCAATGGTACCATTGTCAGTGCGTGGGTTTGGCGCCCGAAACTGTCGAAACAGCAACAGGAAAGATAGTATCGAAAGAAGAGCATGCCTAGACACTTTCTCTGTGATAATATTTTTTGAGAGTTCTTAGGAATTGGTGTTGTAAGCACTCAAAATCTTGTTCTAGTTACAGTTGCTAATAATAAAAACATGTGAACTCGTTATTACCTTGCATGGTATTAATAACACTGACAACTGAGATGAAGGCAAGGAAATATCTTCCCATTGCATGGGCAGATTTAGAGGGGGCCGAGGGGACCTATTTTTAACAACCAACAGGGCTTTGCGCCCCGGCGCTCGCGAACTTGGCCTTCGGCCAACTTATCGGCCCCCCTATTCCAGAATCCTAGATCCGCCCCTGCATTGGGTAATACGTCGCATAAAATTCTCCAAAGGTAAACAATTTTCTAGTGAAATGAATTAAATCAATTTCATTGTATTCTTGCTTTGAGCCAGTTATCCCAGAAAAAAATCTCATTAATCCACAGAGATGGATTAAACTAGAAATTGAAATAAAATGTCTTCAATTATTTTTTTAGAATTTTGTCTTGAATAATTACGTCCAGAAATGTATGTTATCACAAATTGTCTAAGACCAAGAGGTATAGTATTTAAGGATGGTAACTTATGTACAACATTTTATTATACAAATTTCCCTAAAAATATCCTCCATCCGCTCCTGTTTCTTACGCGACTCGCCACAAACAAATCGTAGTTTATGACCTAATCATACAAATATACCACGTGACAATTCGGTGTTAATTTACACTGTGTGGTAGACATGTAATATAAAACAATGTTCGTTGTGCAATGTAAATATCACTTATCCTACATTGCATTCTGGGATTAATGACGTCACGATTTCTGAGTTTCTCAAATAATGACCAGACTCGTCCTGCATCATGGCGTCGTGACGCAGCCTAACATTGATGTAAAGACACTATCTTATATGGCGTCTTTTCTATGAGATAGTCCAATAAAAACACAATTATCAACGCGGTGTCTGGGTGGTCGGTATCTAAACAAATAATGCCGCCTGTATACAACGATGATTCCAGACTTTCAGAGATATGACGAAGCGCTTTGGGAACTCTTTCTACGTCACGGTATTTATAGTAGTTATCGGACGTAAACATGGCGTCGCCTGTAATAAAGATCAATACATGTTAAGAATACTAGTATTGCCGACTCTCTAGCGAAATGGTAGTTTGGCATCCTGTCAGTGCTTTTAGTACAATTCTGAAAATAATACTTACCCTTCGTTGATGGAAATTCCACTGTTGGTTGTATTAATCGAAGTCCTCTCCGAGATGCCTCATCTTGTATCGACGTTGCCATGGATACGGGTAAATAGTAAGCTGTCGTAATTGGAATAGCTGCCAGGTTTTGGATGGAGCTGGTTAAAGCTAGTCGTATCCAGTTAGCACGCATCATTTCGAAATGGCTTCCTAGATACGGATGGTCCTCTCTCATGCCGATATCGAAATCGTCTTTCCAATCTCTGACAACATTAGGGAATAACTCTGTAAAGTCCCCGTACACGAACAGAGTCATGGGTATTTTGAATCGGTACGCCCTCACAGTTTCCATCACACGGTGTGCTAGCTTTGCGTTCATTCCTATTGCCATTGCTATGGTAACCTTTGATGCGTGCGATGCCGGAAACCATTTCGCCATCATGGGAGAGCCGCATTTGTTAATAACCTTTCCCGCCATTCCTAGCGCGGTGATGTCACGGAATGGGGGGTGCAATTTCTCAAAGTCCTCATAGTCGAGAATTTCTCCCTCCCAATTCATCATTCCAAAACCACTAGATTTCAACCGTTCGCGAATTCGAAACTTTTCTAACCAAGTGTACCCTGTCGGTTGCCAGTCATGGTATTCCCCATACAACCTGAAATATGAGAAAAGAACCATGGTCGTTTAATGATAACGGTTCGTTTTGAGTAAAACAATATAATGAAACAAACCCATTATTAAATAGATCAGTTCTCCAAGACTGGTTGATGTTTACACATTTACCATTAACCTATCAATATTACTTTTGATCATGATGACTTTATAACTCATTGCGCATGCGTGGAATATACTGATTACAAAATTACTTATCAATCCATCTGAATGTTCCATCATCCATCATCTTTTTCAAAATTCCATACTCAGCGCCCTCAACGTCCATTTTCAAAACAACATAATCTTCTATCCGGGTATTTTTCTGTATCCACGACGACAGGTCCATAGCCGGGATCGTTTTTCTATATGTTAGTTTCCTACTCCCTCCACTTTCGATATCATTTTTTTCATCGTTGAAGGCGTACAGTGTACCGCCACCCCACTGTTGATCGTAACCAAGAATAGGTCCTTTGTCAGGTGACCACACATCTTCTGAATATGCCGTTACATTACCTGTTGCAATTGATATGATATAGCTTATATAAGATGCGCCCTCAAGCGACAAATTATTTCCGTGACGTCGTGGGTGAAAGGAAGGTCGATATTGTGTTGATATGTAGTCGTTCAATTAAAAAACTCGTTTTTGAGAGATATACGATATCCTAAATGACAAATAACAACACAATCAAAACGACATTTGACGTCACAGAAACCCTTCTTCGCTAGAGGGCGTGTTTATTTAACAACCAGTGGATATGACATGAATGTCATTTACTGAATTTTCAAAAACATATCTTGGCTTACCATTTCTTTGCGACACTGCCACGGGACAATGCGCCTCTGTATTCCTGTACGGTGCATAGAACGGTTTCAGTCTATCGTCTATCTCAAAAGAGTGAATAATGTACTCGGAGCTGTTGGGATACGTATCTTTGAACAGTCTGACTGATGATGCGGTATTTCCTCCACAGTCGATGAAATATTTCTTGGGTTCGGATGGTGTTAACGTTCCATGTTTCGACACACTTCACAAGGAATAAGCGAAGATTGAGATAATAAGTTAGAAATGAACACACCCGATGCACAAGTCAGTGGCCGGATAGAAGCCATCATAAATTGACATGACTGTGCAAAAACACAAACTCTGAGTCCGTACAGAGGCGGCGAAACGAAATTTTGCAGGGGGATGGGGGG